TTATAAATAAAAAATATAAATTATAGTATCTCGTTTCTCGTTATAATGATATTTTTAAATGTTGTGTCTTTATAATATTTATTTAAAAAGAAAAGGGATATTTGATTAAATATGTAAGATAAAAAATATAATATCGATACTTGTTGATATTATAACAGTAAAGACGAAATACTACAACTTATATTTTTTTACTTATAAAAAAGATTTAATAAATAAAATTATATATTATACTTTGTAATATTATATTAAATAATATTGGTTAATACTGACAAATATCGGTTTATAAAAAATCCTATTTGTCCAGGAATTATAGTTATTGAATTGCACGTGGAATGGCAAATGCAAATGCTATTTGGCAAAAATGTGCAAATTCATTCAAAAATAAGTACTAAAAATAATAGAGAGATTCGATATCCAATATTAAATCTTGCTATAGCAGTGTCCTTCGACACATTATAATAAAAAAAAAATATAATCGATAGAATTTCCATCACATAGCTTACCAATTTTCTGTATTGCCTTTGCTATTGTCGCTATTTGAAAATTCTCCCATCTTATTGCATTGAATATGAATCGATATTATTCTTTTTTATAAGATTGCGTAAAACATCATTTACGATTAAATATGTGTGTATGTATTTAGATTAGTGTATAACAAATAGAGAATTATTTATTTTATAATAATTTTTTATGCGAGAATGTATAATATTTATATAAAGTAAACACAAGTATAAAAGGGAGAAAGAGCATATAATTGATATTCAATACCATAATTCAATAAATATGTCGAACATCATAAAATATAAAATACTCATATTTATTATATATAAAAAAGTATCTTTATGCCATAAATATAAATTACATTAGCCGCGAGTTTTCTGTATAAATATAGGAAATACGGGTAGAAAATATTTCGAAAAAATAGCATACTATTTTACGCAAGCGACATTTTCGACAATTTCAGCGTATCGTTACTGACGAAATATAGGTCCCGAGATAAAGTTTGCCACAGAAAACTATTTCACGTGCGACAGGTGTTAATTCCGCGTTGATTACTTTTACATCGTAAACCGGCTAAATGTTATCGATTCGGATCGTTACCGCTTGCGAAATACATGTATCCGCAGTGGGATCCCATTAACGAACTATTTCCATTCCACAAATTAATTTAGTGCCGCCACTGAATATGTTAACAGTGATTTGGTGAGATCGTATGGAGGGAAGAACGATTTGTGTGTTTGGCGACTTAAACTTCTCTTAAATAAATTATTGTGTGTTGAAAGATCCGTACTTACAATATTATTTTTTATTATTATTATTCTGTTTAATAATATTATTATAAGTGTCGCATCGTTACTAGTGAACATTAAATACGAATAAACATAAACTCAAATATTTCTTTTAGGATTTATAAATAGCTCGGAAATGTGAGAAAATTGCCTCGAAAATTCAGTCGTCGATCCATTTGCAGGTTTAAGCGGTTTGCGAAAAATCCGCCGGTACTTAGGCATTCGCGCTGGGCGCGCGATAGTTTCTGTTATGAGATAGCTGTATGGATGCTCCATAACGCCAAACTTTCTACAAAGGCCCGTTTTTTTCCATGAATATATAACGCGACATAAAATATCTCGCGTGTGCAAGAGCCTCGGGATATTTTTGCGAAACTACTGCGATTTTCCGACCTGTTCTGTCAAATATTTATTAGACGACTTTGACATCATACTAAAGTATGATATTTAAGATGTATGTAACAGATGTGTTTCAAATTAAATTTATCTCTCGCTGAGAGATATTCTCCAACCGACATATCGATATTTGACTTTTACTCGAATCTATTATATTTTAGAAGTAGTATAACATTAATTTCAAAAATTATTTACCAAGAAACTTTCAATAATCAGATAGAAGGAAACGGGAAACGTATTAAAAATCACGTTGACGCGCAACTATGTGCTGTTTGTTTCAGTGACCGGGCTTGAGCCAGACTTCGCTTACCCGCTGGAGAACGTAACGATCCCGCAGGGTCGAGACGCTACCTTCACCTGCGTGGTGAACAACCTCGGTGGATACCGGGTGAGTCCTTCCTCCTCCGCGAGCCGAGATCACTCTGGCAGCGTCAACGCCCGGGTAACTATTTTACCATTAACCTGTGTCCGCCTGTAATGGACTACTACCTTATCTACTACTACCTACTACTAACTCTACTACTGTCACTACTACTACTACTACTACTACTACTACTACTACTACTACTACTACTACTACTACTACTACTACTACTACTACTACTACTACTACTACTACTACTACTACTACTACTGCACCACCTATATGCGCGCGTGCCTGCACTTCACAGCACTGCATTTAACTGCACTATATCGCCAGCTATGAAAAAAGAAATATATACTATATATGTATACTATCACAGCCGCAGAGCAGCCATCATCACCAACCATCTCTGTATATGACATTCATTTTCATCTATCAGACGGTACCTATAGAGGTACCGCACGACTACGACGCAGGCAACTCAAGTTTCATAGTCTCTTCACGTTCTCCTACCTCCTTCTCTTCGTTTACTTCGTTGGGAAATATCAGCAACTCGCGCCAAAGAAAGAGGAGACTTCATCGCGAGACTGCAAAGTTACTCACGCGAAATGGCTAATGATGCCTTTGCGCGTCGAAAGAATGCAACGTATCGTTATCCATCATTATAATATGCTTATCGATTGCTACGTGCGTCTAGTCATTATTAAACTTAAGACGCATCGTGATCATCGTCTTTCTCGTCTCCTTTGTATCGCATTGTGGGGATTGTATATCGTAATTTAGGACTGACAATGAGAGCGTATATCCGTACTATCATCGATACGTACGCTCGTATATTGTGTGTCAAGAGAATTTCATTTATTTCTTCCTAATACGATAGAGTGATTTGAAACGCAAAGTAGATCGAACATTTATCGATGTTATCAATATTAAAGCGTCGCCTAGCAAAGAAGGAATTTATTCGGATCGACCGATTGGTCTTTACCTTTGTCCTTTCTCTGAAAAATATTCGAATCGCGAGAGACTCCCGAATAGATGCAGAAAAACTGATTCATCGTTGCAGCTATTGTTTTTTTTTTCTGGCAATAGCTTTTGGGCACATTGTGTGACCCCCCGTCTCTGTTTCTATAGTTATACGTTCCAGAAGACACGTTCAATATTACTGACATATTAGATTCTTTCGATTTCTCGCCATAAACGCCCAATAACAAAACGCAAGCATCGTGCATTGTCTCGTTAAAGTGTGTTTATATTAGTTATTATTATCTATATATCAATAAAAATTTACAAAAAATCTGAATATTATCAGTAATATCAAAATAGCTTACAATCTGTTAATCGTCTCATCGATCACGCAACAACGAAGAAAATTTAAAAAAGATTTCAACTTTGTTTTTATAAAAGTAACTATGTATTATTACATGCATAATATACTTATTAATTTTACAAAGTACCGATAAAATCTTTAAGCAAAGTTGTTGCTTCAAAACAAAAATTTTGTATTTCTCGTTTCAAATAGCAATTATTTTATAAGTATACAAATTTCTTATATCTTCAAATCTTAAGGCAATTTTATATTTATTCCTGAGATACATGATTTTTTTTTATTGTTTTTTAATTCATAATTAAAATAAATTGCTTGAAAGACGCTATTTATAAACTTTTCTCGAAATACTCCGTAGAAAATTCAGAGTCGCGTGTAATTGCGTAACTTCCGCTTTACACCTTCCGGTAATAGCGATTCCCGCCAATGAAAGGAAGATTGATCAAGGCCGGCACGGCCTGGCTATATGTGAGGTGAAATTGATTTCGCGTGAGTACATATCGCCGATGTGGCGTATTAAGCGCTTTTCGGCTCCACTTGTTGAACCGATAACTTCCCGATAGCCGGAAGGTTTTCCCTCCTCCGTTGCCGCGGAGACCTTTCGCCATGAAAAGAAATTTCGGCGCCGGGCGCCGCGCGCGCGCGAACCCCTCGTAGATTTTAATTAAACTTGGCACTGTCAGAGTTTATAACTTGTTCGAAAATGCGATTACTTCCGGCAATGCGCTTGCCCGCGTTTCAACTTCTTTCTTACAACACAGTCGGACAATTCTCCGTCCGGTAGTTTACGCTCCTTTCTAATAAGGATCATCGCGACGGTTTCATTTTCTTTTCTTCGTTCTTTCACATTATTAAGCATATGAAGTTCTACGGACAAGGAGAAAATTTTGTTTCAACAGATTCGTAATTAATTTCGGAAGTAAATATCACTTCGTGAGTATTTTGAGGATATTTCAAGTTGAAAATAGTCAATTACTTTTTTTTTTTTGTCAAAATAGATAAAATTTTTTATATTATTAAATCAAAAGTTTTGCGAAAAATTATTTGGAACAGAAAATTATCGTTATTTTATTTACATTACAAATATATAAGAATAAATTTTTGTAAAACTCATATTATAAGTAAACAGAATCTAAATTATTTATAATGTACTGTTACGTCCTGGTGACTCCACGATTCCTTCCTTCCACGAAGTTGCGGCAATTATAATCGATCGGTGATAGAAATGAGTCGTTCGGTAAATAGAGCATCTTGCGTCACACATTCCTTAAACATTTAGTCACTTATCAATATCTA